CATTTTATGTATCCATTTAATAATAATTTTGTATTTTCTTTTATATTACACAATTCTGAATAACTCAGCCAGAAATGTTTTTCATCTGTATAATATCCATGCAGAAATGCCATATTCCTTCTGCTGAGCCTCTTGGGCTCATGAGGAAGTGTTGGTGCATGGTCTTTAGCTAGGAGTTTCTGAGAAGCATCTTAATCCCCTGCTGGGTCTGTTGGGTGAATTAAGAGGTGGGGAGGTGGGACAGGGAAAAGGGACAGGGCAAAGAAGAGCCACATTTCTTGCTCACTTTTTCCTCCACTGGCAACTCAGTCCTTTTGTGTTAACAAGCTCTTCTGGGAATATAAATCAAGAAGGCCAGAACTACAGATCATTTGTTTTTGTACCCTTTGTCTAAATCATATTGACAGCTAACAGGAATTTTGAGAGGAAGGCGAAAAAGTCTGGACTGTAGGATCAGTGGGGTAAAGGAGGAAAAGAAAAGGCTGAAAAGTTTCCAGGGCAGCTTAGGCATCATTCCTTTATGGATTCCTTGCTAAGTCTTCCTTCCTCATCTTTCATTAACTGTTGGTAGGACAGGGTATCCTGTATTATTGGGCTTTCTAGAAGACACCTCCAATAAATATGCAGATTCTCCTTTATCTATCTTGTTATTGTTCAATCACTCAGTCGTGTCTAACTCTTTGCAACCCCATTGACTGCAGCACGCCAGCCTTCCTTATCCTTCACCATCTTCCAGAGTTTGCTGAAACTCATATCTATTGAGTCGATGATGCCATCCAACCATCTCATCCTCTGTCGCCCCCTTCTCCTCCTGCCCCGAATCTTTCTCAGCATCAGGGTCTTTATTTATTTTACATCAGCCTTTTTACTGGGTGCCTGTTGGAAAAGAGTGTTACTCAAAGTGGTCAGAAGTGGATACCATGTTTCCCAACTATCTTTTTCTTCAAACCAAACTCAGATTGACCCTGACAGGCATATATGGCAGAGTGTCAAAAATAGGAGGTCAAGATTTGTCTCATCACCTAATTCATTCTCTTGTGTCAAAACAGGGGAGTTGGGGTCATAGAGTTAGGCCCTCCACACTCAGTGGCTCCCTTCCAGATCCTCATAAGTGCTTCTCAAATCTCCACACCCTGTACTCTACCTCGAGACACACACATACACACACGCGCATGCATGCATGCATGTCTCCTCTCAGACCCTCTCTAACCTCTGATTTTTGGTTTTGCCAGGACCTCCTTGCATCAAAAATATGCCTGTGCATCTTGTGATCTCCATTGTCATAGACTTCCATCACAGACTTTCTCCTCTCTCTCTCTTTTTTAAAATTAACTCTTATTCTGTCAAGAGTAAGATACAGACTGAACAACCTAGCAACAACCCTGGTTAATTTCTTCAAGAATTACTTAAAAGTAACAACAGTAGTCTATATAGTCTGCTTTCATAAAAAAGGCACATCTCTTCCGTTAGTGTGACTTTGATCCTATTCCCTGAAAATAACAACTCCGCCTCATTTCGCTATGGGGTATTTTACTAAATTTCTAAACCAGTTTATAAAAATAGGCCACCATATAAGCAAAGAAGAACTTTGAGCCATCCAGCATAGGTGGCATTGGCAGCTTCAAATAGGATCTGACTCGACCTTTATCTCCTGAGAAAAATGAGTGGCTTTCAATTCATCTCATTTTAGGCAGTGGGTTTGGGATATGCTAGCTTTCTTACAGAAGAGTCAGAAGGCTAACTTAGTCTATGCCAGTTAAAATTTTAGATAAGTTGAAAAATTTTTTTATCTTGTACATGAATGACTGGATCTTGGTAGGTGTTCAGAAATACTTATTGAATTGAATGATACAGGCTTTCTTTATGGCCCAGCTCTCCCATCTGTACATAACTACTAAAAAAACCATAGCTTTGAGTAAGCCCCATTACTCAAAAACTCTTCTCTTTGTTTTCAGTGGAATCAAGCTCAGACTGAGCTCTGGCCTTTTCCCCTTATTTCAGTAGTCTTGAATAAAGTCTTCCTCCCCTGTTTAAATTTGTGCAATGTTTGCCTTGATAAGTTTTCCATTACATGGTAGTTAATACTACAAATGAACTAAGTGGTTCATAGATACATAGAATATTCTACTACATAAACTATTTTGTTTCTTAAGTAGCATTAATGAGTCATCTACTATAAATACTTCTGTAGAAATTATATTTAATGTAGCAAGTTCAAATTATAAGAATTCTGTATCTGTTTTATCATAAATATATCATTTTGTTGTATATGAGAGTATGTGGGTTTGTGTTTGTTCTTGTATATGTGATATATCTGTTTGTCTATAGAGAAAACACAAAAAAATTCTATTTCTTTGGCACACCAGTCAATAAGCCCAGAGATGCTGTATTTGAACTTTAAATTTCTCATGCAGAGAATCCAATAAATTCTTCCACAGATTCCCTTTGGCATCTGAGTAAATTTCTAGTGCCCTTTAAATTTTTATGGCTGTTTCTCCTCCTCTCTTACCCCAGAGGCAGTGTTTCACTACTTTCACAATATCTCCTCACCCTTACTTACTTGACCCCCCACCTCCTCCAATGTTGAATTAACACATAGCTTCTAGACCTTGCTGGTTCCCCCTGGACTATGTCTTTCCAGCCCCTCCTCTTTCTTTTATTCTTCCTTCTTTTTTTTGACACTCTATCACTGCCTCTAGTGTATAACCATAAGATATCCTTAGTATTCCCACAGATTAGCCTAAAACCAACAAGTTTAGGTTGCTCTGTACATTTGTATATATGTTCATATTTATAGATGCATTAAATCTTGCACAGGGTCATGTAAGAAAAAGCTAACAAAATGCACCTTTATATTAGAATGAGTGCTGATTCATAATAAATCTTTAAGGATACATAATTCTTTCTATGACAGGCTTATATGTCACTAATTTACTTTCTCAAATCTGATGAGCAAGAAAAATGTCAGATGTTTTTGATTAGTTTTAATTCTTAGAGGCTATGTTCTGCGAATATTCTTGAAAAATATCAGAGTCAAGTAACAGCAAAAAATGGAAAAATTATATTCTGTTGAACATATTTATTTGACAGTTAAGGACTTAAATATACAGTGAACATTAATTCAGCAGATAAATATTTATATGTATTATATCATCACACAAAAATAATTGAAGCAAATGAAGTAGGAATAGTCTTTTAGGTGTAAGATATCGAAGCTGGTTCAAATTATATAAATTGGTTGAGCTGAAGTCATCTTATCTATTCTTCAGTTTTAATGATGACTGTGGATCACCCATCATTGATTTTGCCAGTATAGTGGGTAGTGATGTTGGAGGAATCCAAAGTGATGGAACTGACGTATTGGCACTTACTCTATTGCCCTCATATCTATGTGATGCCTATAAAATATCAATGATTCATGCATAAAATCACTGAATTCTTAGTCCCAGTAAAGTCAACTGTTGTAAAGTGTTGTTTAAAACCTCTTTTATGCTGTAAGGTAGCAGCTTTAGCTTCTTAGCAAAATAATCTGCATTATTTATGAATTGATTTTAATTTCAAATGATGAGATTACTAGCTATGCACTCCTTTTACCTGTGATGAGACACATCCTGATGAATATAGATGTTCTTTGATAGGTAGCACCTCGAATGTGCAAAATTTTACTGTGAAATTATATGAATTTGAATGCTACTTCAGTTTATGTTGGATTAAATTCATATTTCTAAATTCAGCAGCCTCTTCTCTCTCTTTCTTGGTTCACTTTCAACTGTCAAAAGTCACAGCTTTCCCCAAAGCATTATAAATAACATAAAACAAATGTAAACGAATGAGAAATAAGGATGACAAATTCCCAAGTATTTTGGGGAGGTGGTAGGGGACGTGTGTGAAAATGCACTCCTTATTCTATCCACAATTAAATTCTGTGTTATTCTTACAGATTCAGGAAATTATAAAGCAGAAATACATCTTTGAAATTTTCTTTAGTCTTGTTGTTGTTGTTTAGTCACTAAATCATGTCTGACTCTTCTGCAATCCCATGGATTGTAGCCTGCTAGGATCCTCTGTCCATGGAATTTTCCAGGCGAAAATACTGGAGAGGGTTGACTTTCCTTCTCCAGGGGATTTTCCTGACCTGGGAATCCAACCAGTGTTTCCTGCATTGGCAGGTGGATTCTTTACCACTGACCCACCAGGAAGCCTTCATTTAGTCTTAGGCCTTCACTAATCTTTTCCCATCTTAAAATATTTTTTTGTAAAGTGTAGCCCACCCTGTTTTTATTCTCTGTATTATGGAAAATGTATGGCAAATGTAGATAGTGAAAAAAAAAAATTGGTTTTTTTTCCCTTTATATGCATGTCAAAATTATTAGCCACATTGTAATGATTTAGGATCAAATTTCCTCTCTGGTAGAAGAATTTAACACTAATTTTACAATTTATATAGTAATGGGAATGTGATCAAATACAGTTTCTGTTATTTGATAATCATTCAAGAATATTTGCATTTGAATCATATCTGCTATCAGTGTATCTTTGAAAACATAGGCTACCAAAATCTTAATTCAGTACTGTGAATAAAATTGAATAAATACATGTATTTTACAAGTGGAAGATAAATTTTTGTGTCTAAAACTTTACTAGGATTGTTTGAAATGGTCATTTTTTTCAGTTTTTCTTCACACTAAAATTTACCATATTTAAATGTCTTGTATTTCTTGGAGTAGAGGATGTTCTTAACAAGAATTAAGACATGTCAACATTAGAATTATTGAAATGTATTTTTCCTATAAATTAAAAAGATAAAAGGAATGCATAGATTTTATGCTAAGTAAAGTAACTAAGATACTTTTTTTTATTGTTTTTTAAACTAAACCAAAGCTATATTTTGGTAAAAATTATAAGTGCAGTTTTTAGAGTGTGATGTTGAAAAGTCAGAGACCATTTTATGTTTTTTATTAATATTCAGCCTCTACAATTACTGATTTTTTTTTTTTAAGAAATCATCATCTACATTTCAAAACTCACCAAGCACTGTAAGACATCTCTATGTCTACCTGATAAACCATTCTAAAACTCAGATATTTAAACGATATTTTATTTGCATACAATTATGTTCCACAAAAGTCAAAGTCTTCAGCTGGAATCACATGGAATACTGAAGTTGTCACATAGTCGGATAACTTGAATGGGACGATGTGTGTGCGTTATTGGCTGTGAATGTGAACTCTCTTTCAAGTTTCTCCTCCGTGTAGCCTGCATATGTCCAGTATCCAGTGGGCTGGACAAACAGGCTATCTCAAAGAATGATGGTTTCCAGGTTCCAAGAATATTTGATCCAAGAAGCAAGCCTGTAGTATTTTAACAAGCCCCTGCTAGCTTCATGCTATCTGGCCAGAGCAAGTCACATGACCAAATCCAGTCTCAATGTGATAGGATACCACATAAAGGTATGAATGTCTAGAGGCATGATTCAGTCATCGGAGGCCACTCATGTAAGAGTTTACTGCAGCATTATTGATCAGAATATGAGAATCCCTACCTACTGAAGATCAAATCTGAATGTAGCCTTCCTAGATTCATTTATAATTTTTATTGTAGATTCTTTTCATTTACAATTTAAAAACTGTAGAGAAAATAAGGAGAAACTGAATTTTATGCTGAAAGATGGTTGTGAATCTTAAGATTTTCTCTATAGTTTTAAATTAATAGTTGAAATGGAAAGTAAAATAGATTGTGGACAGAGATTTGGAGTTGTAGATATAATCAAATTATATAGACATAAAAACAAACTGGAATATTAGACTAAGATATGATTATAAAAATATCAATGACAGATTGCACATTTTAAAGTAGTAAGAATGGGTACTATATAATTTTTATTTATCATGTTATAGTTGATAAAAAACCTTTCAGGTCCTTTCCTCTAAAGTTTAAAGGAGATGCTTGTATTTTGGGCTTCCCTTTTGACTCAGCTGGTGAAGAATCTGCCTACAATGTGGGAGACCTGGTTTCGATCCCTGGGTTGGGAAGATCCCCTGGAGAAGGGAACGGCTACCCACTCCAGTATCCTGGCCTGGAGAATTCCATAGACTGTGTATAGTCCATGGGGTTTCCATTTTTCCTATAATAAGTATTCTGAGTAGCTTTTTCATTTCTCTATTTGTGCCTTTCAACAAATATGTAATGTTTTTGTGTTTTTATTACTCTAATTTGTTGATTCTCCTCTTCCATGTTTGAAAGCATAGGACATAAAGTAATGTGGATGCTTAAGCAAAAACACTTTTTTACTTTATTTGAGCTCCTCAATATCACTAAGTAGATATTTCACAAACTGCCTCCCTTATATCCCGGGTTACATATTCTTAGAAATGTCACCCAAAATAACTTTCTGCCAAAGCACTTGTCATCAGCCCTCTTTATTTCCATCTATTCCTTTTCTCATCTAATGTGGTTTTCTGATCTGAATTGCCTTTTCTTTCCTTTCTTTATCTTTTCAAAGATTCTATTGTAAGAATCTCTATTTCTAGACAACCCACTTTAACTTCCTTCAGAAGTTCCCAGCACCCAGTTTCCTTATTCAAAATGATCTTCAGTAGAAGTGAGAGAAACTGATATTCTAGCAGTTGCAAAAAAAATATAGAAATAAATTTGCATATATTTGAAACTCACATAATAGGGACTAAAATTGGAGAGGGATTACTTTACATGTAAAAGTGCTTTTCAGATTGTAAAGTGCTGTACAAATCTAAGGTATTATTATGAATAATAATGGTGATGTTGATGGTGATCATGAAATCAGTAGCCTTTACTAAAGACTAGTTCAGCCATGAGGAGTTATTCAGTTAATTTAATATTCATTGTGGAATGCCTTCCAAATCATTGAACTGTCCACATTATAATAGCAGCTATTTCAGGAAGATTTTTAACGTGGGTTCATTTACATATCAGAGTCTTCTTGAATGTTCACTTTCAATGCTAATCTGTATAAGATGAAACTATAAACTTGGAATCCCTATTGTCATGTGGTATAATTAGCAGATAATTTGATAATTGACTAGGTCTGCCATTTTAAATAGAATTCCTCAAGTCTGTAAATGTTGGGTTTATTTTAAAACTCATCCTACAACAAAATATGGAGATATGTGTGTTATTTTGCACAAAATGCAAAATCAATGGTAAACCATAAGTACAGAAGGGACATCATTGTAAACTAGTTATTGATGTGCTAAAAGTCATTTATACCTGCCATGGAAGATAGATTGTGACATTATTAATTTAACTGGCATTGGGTATACTAACATAGCTGCCATGTAAACCAGAAATCCACCATCTGTAAAATTTTATGCATTTTTTTTGTGCAGATAGCTGTACAGTATTTTGACAACCCCAAATCAGCTTTAATCTGTCAATTTCAAAGTTTGTCACCAAAAAGTTCATCTGAAGGAGAATGTCTGTTCAATTCATGTTAAATGCAAAATGATTACAGTGGATAACACTTACAAAATGCACCATTCTTGGAAAAATAAAGTTGTTTAACATGGTTATTATGTACTTTCAAGGCATAATACAGTTTTTTAAAAAGCTCATCTTAAAATGCCGATATGAAGTAGTATAATGAAAGATATATTTACTCACAGAAGGCATCTGGCAATAGCAGTAAAAGTAAAGATGCTTTTCTCTGCAATAATTCTTCATTCAAATAACAATATGTAAGGGAGTAAAAAATGGTGTAGTGCTGAATTTTCATTTCTGGTTCAATTTGAGAGAGACTTGACACTCTCTTGCAAAGTAAACATTTTTTTCTTTTTTTCCACCGTGTCCACAGCCTTTTCCCTCTGCATTTAAAGCTATTTGGCTTTAGTGAGGAGTGGGTTCCTTTACAAAAGAATGAAGAATGTCTTTCTACAGCACCCTGTCACTTAAACATTTCACTGGCAACATTGAGCAGCAGCCCAAACTGTCAAGGTACATAAAATTTCTGCCTTTTATTCTCAGAGAAATTCTAGTAAGAATTGGGAGAAAACAGATGTCTTAAGATAATATGGTATCTAGCACCTGTTTGCTCATGATTTTTGTTTTTATTTTTTCTGATTTTGATCTATTTTGCTTAGATGTTACATGTTACATTAAATGAAACAGCGAAAGGAAAATAATAGTTCATGAAAAACTTGTGAAAGAAACTGAAAAACAGCATGGGTCTTCAAAAATTATAATGGATTATAACCATGAATGCATGAATGGGGCAAATATCTACCTCAATACTAGGATCTTTGAAAATATATACATTCCAGGTAGGTACACAAAAATTTTTATTTTTATTTATTATTTTAGTATTATTGATGTTTTACATATTTATTATTATTATTATGCTTTTTAAATGATTGAAAAACATTCATCTTTCTATTTTACAAGAATTTTGAACACATTTAATGAAAGTTTACTTTTGTCCAATAGCCTTTGTTCTAATTGTGTTCTTCAAAATGTTGAAGAACATTTTTTATTGAAAAGAAGTAGGTTTTATTTTTGGGGGATCAAAAATCACTGCAAATGGTGATTGCAGCCATGAAATTAAAAAATGCTCCTTGAAAGAAAAGTTATGACCAACCTAGGCAGCATATTAAAAAGCAGATGCATTACTTTACCAACAAAGGTCTGTCTAGTCAAGAATTGATGCTTTTGAACTGTGGTGTTGGAACAGACTCTTAAGAGTCCCTTGGACTGCAAGGATATCCAACCAGTCCATCCTAATGAAAATCAGTCCTAAATATTCATTGGGGGGACTGATGTTGAGGCTGAAACTCCAATACTTTGGCCACCTGATGTGAAGAACTGACTCATTGGAAAAGACCCTGATGCTGGGAAAGATTGAAGGTTGGAGGAGAAGGGGACAACAGAGGATGAGATGGTTGGATGGCATCACCGACTCAATGGACATGAGTCTGAGTAAACTCCGGGAGTTGGTGATAGACAGGGAGGCCTGGCTTGCTGCAGTCCATGGGGTCGCAAAGAGTCGGACACGACTGAGTGAACTGAACTGAACTGACTGAGGTTTTTTTGAGTGGAGGGTAAATGGGTTTGTGTCTTTTGTTACGTACTGACAGCTGACAGGTATTTCTTTCCTACAGGAAAATGCCTGGGTATTAATCTGCACACATAGCGTGTACTAAATAACTGTTCAATTTTTCTTTTTTGTTTCAAGTATTTGGAAACTAATAATTACAAATAATTTCCTATTTGAACACCTGTTACAGAGAATCATGTGCATAGCTTTGACATAGAGCAACTATTTGTTTTCTTTTTAAATTTTAAGTGAAACTAGTTTCAGCAACATGAAAAATTTCAGGGATGTATTATTCAAACTAGGAGCTTACCCTCATTGCCTGCATGGCCATCTTCTACTCCTTAGTCTTTTGCAGTTGACATTTTATTCTATCTAGTACCAGTTCTTATTCCTCTTTGTAGTGTTTGATAATGCTGATTAACCCCTACTTTACCCTTTTGCTTCCTTAGTCTGATTATTCCCGTTTCCGTTTCCCCCCATAGTCTTTAACCAATTAGTTGATTCTTGAATATAAATAATCTTCATGATTAAATAATCAACACTTCTTCTTCTCTTTTTACTAACTTTAACCAAGTCTTGGTTTCCCAGGTGATGCTAATGGTAAAGAATCTGCCTGCCAATGCAGAAGACCCAAGGGACATGGGTTCCATCCCTGGGTCAGGAAGATCCCTGGAGTAGCAAATGGCACCCCACTCAAGTGTTCTTGCCTGGGAGAATCCCATGGGCAGAGGAGTCTGGCAGCCTACAGTCCGTGGGGCCACAAAGAGTCTGAAACAGCTGAACACACATACACATAGAATCAAATTTTATGAAGTTTTATGGAATAATCCATTTCAGATCTCTCCCTATCCCTCCTTGTCAGTGCTAAGCCCTTTATCCAAATGTCCACTGGACATTATTCAGGCAACTAGTATTTATCCAGTGGTAAGTATATATCTCACACCAAGTTTATTCTGGAGATACACATATGAGGAAAAATCAACATGGTCATTGTCACCATGGTGCCTCAGTTCTTTCTAGAAAATAAAAATTCAAGTAATCACACACATCAATGTAAAATTAAATCTGCCAGGAAGATTACAAGTGGGAATGATGTGAAAGCATGTAATAAGAAGATCTGATATAAGGAAAGTTGCTGTGAGAAGTGATGCTTAAACCGACATTTAACGACATGTAAAAACTGACAGTGAACATTGGCTAGGTGAGAAGGAGAGAGATGAGTGTTCCAGACTGTGGAAAAATCAGTTTTAAAGATTTTTATGGAAATGTCCTTGTCTGTTCGTCTCTTAAAAAGGCCAGTGTGGCTTTAGCATGTGTGAGAGGAAGCTAGTCAGGGGAGGTCAGATCTTACTAGCCTTTGTAAGCTGTGACAAAAAATTTTGTCTTTATCTTAAGAGCAAATTTTCAAGCAGTCTGAGGGGTGGTATGTTATGATAGACATATTAATTTTCAAAATATGATGCTAGGTATAGGTTGGAGAAAAGACTTGAGGGAGACCAGAGAGATGGAAGAGAAACTATTGTGTGGTGTACCTAAGAGGAACTTGATGGATGAGGCGAAATATACTTTGGGGATAAAACCATCAGGGCTAGTTGATGGAGTGATATTGAATGGGGAGTGCAAGAAAGTGAAAGAAGATAAAAGATAAAATCCTGACTTCTAAATAGGGCTGCCAGAATACTGTCCAGTTACACTGGAATGTCAGATATACAATGATTTTTTTTTTTAGTATGAATATGTTTCATGGAACGTTTGGGACATATGTATGCTAAGAAATTATTTGTTTATCTGAAATTCAAATTTATTTGTGAGATCTGGCAACTCCCTTCCTCACTTGCCATCTCTGAATTATAACTTTCGGTAGAGAACCAGGGGGAGAACATGAGTAAATTTTCCTCATGGAGAGTTACCTTTAATTCTAGGACACCAGAGAATAAATATCAAAAAGGTACTTGGATCTAGATTAGAGTTAAAAAGATTTGGGAGGAAGATATTTTTGTATGGCTTCTAATTTCATGTTTTAAATGAAATCATTTTTTATATCATCAATTCATTTATTTCCCTTAATTTCTCATTTTTGTTAGTAGTGTTATCATTATCTCAAGGAAATAGAAAATAAATTTGGTTATTACTGTTGGTTACACTCCTTATTTTAAAAAAATAGCTTTATATATTAAAAATATCTAGTCAGAGGTATAAAACCACCATATGACTCAGGAATCCCACTCCTAGGCATATACCCCGAGGAAACCAAAATTGAAAAAGACACGTGTATCCCATTGTGCATTGCAGCACTATTTACAATATCTAGATCACAGAAGCAACCTAGATGTCCATCGACAGATGAATGGATAAAGAAGTTGTGATACATATACACAATGAAATATTACTCAGCCATAAAAAGAAACATATTTGAGTAAGTTCTGATGAGGTGGATGAACCTAGAACCTGTTATACAGAGTGAAATGAGTCAGAAAGAGAAAGATAAATATCATATTCTAATGCACATATATGGAATCTAGAAAAATGATACTGAAGAATTTTTTTTACAGGGCAGGAGTGGAGAAGCAGACATAAAGAATAGACTTATGGACATAGGGAGAGGGGAGGGGAGGGTGAGTGTCCCTTGGGCTGCAAGGAGATCTAACCAGGCCATCCTAAAGGAGACCAGTCTTGAATATTCATTGGAAGGACTGATGCTGAAGCTGAAATTCCAACACTTTGGCCACCTGATGCGAAGAGCTGACTCATTTGAAAAGTCCCTGATGCTGGGAAAGATTGAAGACAGGAGGAGAAGGGGAAAGCAGAGGATGAGATGGTTGGATAGCATCACGGACTCAATGGACGTGAGTTTGAGTAAACTCTGGGAGTTGGTAATGGGCAGGGAGGTGTGGCGTGCTACAGTCCTTGGGGTGGCAGAGTCAAACATGACTGAGCAACTGAACTGAACTGAGTGACATATTTCATCTCCACTGGGATGACATGTGCTAAGTGATTTTGCAGTTATGAATCAAGTCTATTCAGTTCCTATGGATGATTTTCAGAGCAGGGAAAGGAGGGGATGAAAAGAAGGAAGACCCTAGGCTAATTTGGGGCCTGGGATTGTTTTTGATAGATTAACTTCTGGCAGTCTGTCAAAAACATACAAGTAGAAAATCATTTTTCTTCATTGTTGTCTCTTTGCATGAGTCTTGCTTTTGCAGTTAAAATAATTCCTAGACCAATATTGTTTATACTTGGAGTCAATTTTTGGGTTCATTGTTATTGAAGTTTGTCTCAACTAACAAGCAGATCTAATCAGTAGGTTAAAATGACCCATAGCATTTGATATCCTCTGTATCTTAAATCATAAATGCAACCTGACAGCATATTAAGTCCTCACATTCAAAACTTTTGGAATCCTTTCTAGAAGTCCTGCTTTTACCTGACTCATTTCCTAACCTTTCACTGAGAATGAAAAATGATATTTGAGATCAGTAATCATGAGCAGACCATATAAGTAAGCATACTACTAACTGGTCATATAAGTGCTTAGTTACTATCCCTGAATTTATTTATTTTTTTGCTTGTCAACATATGCATGGAGTTCAGAGAATCCATGACAATAACCATGGAGATGAAAAGATTGACACTGAGGAATCATTACAGAGTTGGGCAAGTTATCCTCTATTCAATTAACTTTAGCATTAATGTCTGAGTTACCAATTGAAAAAAAATAATGTTTCATCAGTGAGGAAGGAAATGTCTTTATAGAAATCATTGCTATAGATTCCAATTATTTTTGAAATATGGAGCAGTAAATCAGAATTATCTCAAGCAACTAGATGCCATAGATCACAAATCATACTTTCTAAACAGTTTCTGTTATGGCAATAAATACTATTTTTCACTATTCTCCAAAATTAAAGAAGGATAAAGAAGACTCCTGATCCCTGTTTTTCAAAGCTTGGTTCACGGACCATTTACACTGGAATCATGGGTACTTTATTCACTTATTCTATCATTAGTAGTTTTTTCAAAACTATTCATTCATGAGCTATTTATTAGGTATTTATTATTTGCCAAGTGGTGCTTTGGAGCTTCCCTGGTGGCTCAGAGGGAAAAGAGTTCTCCTGCAATGCAGGAGACCAAGGTTCAATCCTTGGATCAGGAAGATCCCCTGGAAAAGGGAATGGCAACCCACTGCAATATTCTAGCCTGGAGAATCCCATAGAGAGAGGAGCCTGGTGG